GTATGTATATTTCACTTCATGTATATACATATATATATAATGTTTATGCATATATATGTGTTTGTGTATATATATATATATATATATATATATATATATATATATATATAATGAAAACCTGATATTTCCTCCTTAGCTCACAAATCACAGAGTCATCAGAGTTGCAGTAAACTTTCTGTGCATGACTGTTAGAATGTCTTTAAGATTTCTGAACAACCATCCATCATTCCCTTCATTGAGCTTTTGTTCCTGAGCAAAGATTTTCTGATGAAAAAAATTTAAATAATCCAGGCTTTTGTTGTTTAAACTTGATTAACAAGTACTTTCTATTGACAAGATTGCTATCTTTTGTCTTTGCCTTCATGACCACTAAATAACAGCAATACTTGATTTAAATAATACATTTTTCTACTATGATACTATTCTGAAAGATATCAATGGTGTATTTTCATTTATTATTTAAGGAATTTCAGCAGTCTCTTTCTGATTTTTTTTTTTGCTACCTTAAGAATTCCTTGTTCCTTACTCATTCTGTCTATGGAATTCTTAGAATGCTTCTGTAAAACCAAATATCTCTTATGGCAGTTTCCTCTTTGTCTGTGGTGAAATAGTCCAGCTTTGACTGCCATAGAAGAGGATTTCTTTTTATCAATTCACCCCTAGCAAAGTGATAATGCTTCTAAAACACAAGAAGTTACTTAAAGTGAAAGGGAATGAGAAACTTTACAAGAAACTGGAAACCCAATCCTAAACCAGAAACAAAGAATAAAATTCAAATCCTCTTCAAAGGACCAGAATGGAGTGTGGACCAGGCAATAGGAAAGCCTAAATTCCTATGTTGTTTACTTTCTATATTTGATTATTTTGGTGGGTAAGCACAGAAGGTACTTGGCCAAAATACTGTTGGAAACAATATTTATAATGAAAGATGAAAACAATGGTTTGAATAAATTATGTCAAACATATTGTTACTTCCTTTTATAGTGTAAACTACGAAACCTGGACTCATAGCTCTCTTTTAATCTAAGTCCTACAGTGACAAAGACTGTAAATAAAGTTGTTTTTTCTACTTTGTATTGTATATAAAAAAAGAATGCTTTTCAATTATGAGGTCAATTAAAATTCCACTTCTTAATTATTGGAGGTTGTTATTACCAAGCAAATTAATTGTTGAATGTTTTGATTGCTATTTTAGTCTTTCGGTAATGATTTTACAGCTGTTTTGTGATTGAAGTATGTGCCATGGCAATTTGGCCAGAAGTAGAAGGAATAAAAGAAACTGTTTCCATCACAAAATAACTTGTCTTTTTGCTGCTCTTCACTTTAGGATTGGTTTAATTGCAATTTAGGACATAATTACTTTAGGGATCATAATGAGTGTTGGTTTTTGGATGCTAAGTAGTGTTTTTAGCCCATGAGTGGGAATCTAATCTTTTTTTTTTGTTTTTGTTTAAATTATGGTAAATTTAATTGTTTCAGTATAATTACAGTTGGTGTCATGGTGGAGTAATGTATAGCAGATCAGTTTGAGGAATCTGAGAGCCGAGTTCAAAATCTAGTCAAATCCATTACATTTACTTACTTGCTAAATACCCTTGGGAAAGGTATGAATCCTCTTCTTCTTCCCCCTCCAGATATGGGTAAATAGCAGGACAGACCAGGTTCTATAGCCTTGGATGGCAACCCACTGTGGGAAAAAAATCTGCCTCGTCAGTGATATATGGAAAGATACATAATCGCCTAAGTGTGTATCATGCATGGAACATGACTCATTGAAATTCACTTATGTGCAAATACCCTCGGGAAAGGTATGAATCCTCTTCTTCTCCCACCAGATATGGGTAAATAGCAAGACACACAGGGTTCTATAGCCTTGGATGGCAACTGGTTTACTGCAGAAAGAAATGGCAACCTACTGTGGGGAAAAAATCTGCCTCGTCAGTGATGTATGGAAAGATACATGATCGCCTAAGCGTGTATCATGCATGGAACATAACTGACTGATCATAATTACATGCTTGCTTGTTAACCACTTTCAATGAATGAAACTATGGTTATAAGAAATATTGACACAAACCTATTATGTATAATAGCCATATTCTGTTGGTAACACTGTCAACTCAAAGTAGTAGTACATTATATTATTATACAACCCCTGTCCTGTAATATGTTACATTTGCATACATATTTATATACTAAATGTTCTAATTATTATGGGACAAAGAGAGTACATCATATTATGTAGACTCTGTCCCATAATATTTGTTACATTTGCATACATATTTATATACTAAATGTTCTAATTATTATGGGACGAAGAGAGTACATCATATTATGTAGACTCTGTCCCATAATATTTGTTACATTTGCATACATATTTATATACTAAATGTACTAATTATTATGGGACAAAGGGAGGACATTGTATTATGTAGACTCTGTCCCATAATATTTGTTACATTTGCATACATATTTATATACTAAATGTACTAATTATTATGGGACAAAGGGAGGACATTGTATTATTATATAAACCCTGTCCCATAATATTTATTGCATTTGCATACATATTTATATAGTAAATGTTCTAATTATTATGGGACGAAGAGAGTACATTATATTATATAAACACTGCCCCATAATATTTGTTACATTTGCATACACATTTCATATACTAAATCTAACAATTATTATGGGACAGCATGTCTTGCTGTTAGGTAATGATCAGCAAGTTAGCCTGGTTGACCATTACTATTGACTAGTGAGTTCAGTTCTCACTGAGTGCTCCATACTTTTGGCCTTGTGTGAAAAATAAGCTTTGTTAATTACTATTGTGATACAGAGGTAATATTAAAGAGAAAACTGTTGTGCATTAGTGACGTGAATGTTTTTAAAATGTCTCCCGTATTACAACAAATGTTATTTGTTGTCCTGGGGCCCCTCACTACTGATATTTCCTTTCCTTTGTCTCCTCCCTTTTATAGCGGATGACCAGTTGGTTAAAAATGTCCAATCATTTGATATGTGTAATTAGAATTCCTTGTCCACGTAATTTTGAAACATTGTCTGATGCCTTGAGTATTTCAAAGATATCTGAAAATGTCATTGCTGTTCTAATTTATTGTGTCAACAGTGAAAATGTCAAACCAAATTTGTTCATTTAATCTGTGAAAGTTTTCTTTTTCTTTTTCCTGTCTCTAATAATAGATGCCAAATTTATATTAAAAGAAGAGTTGAGGTTTATATTTTGGTAAATGCACTTCTCTATTTCAGTCTCAAGTATGAAAAACTTTAGCTAGAAGCTAACTGGTCAGCTAGCTTGCTGTTGGAGGCACTGAACTGGTCAGTTAGCTTGCTGTTGGAGGCTCTGAACTGGCCAGCTAGCTTGTACTAGAGGCTCTGGCCTGGGAATCTAGCTTGCTATTAGAGGCTCTGGCCTGGGCATCTAGATTGCTACTAGACGCTCTGAACTGGTCAGTTAGCTTGCTATTGGAGGCTCTGAACTGGCCGGCTAAGTTGCTACTAGAGGCTCTGAACTGGTCAGCTAGCTTGCTATTGGAGGCTCTGGTCCTGGCAGCTAACTTGCTTTTGAAGGCTTTGGATCTCATTTGTGGATGTGTGTGTGGTGCAATAGATAATTGTTCGGAATGAGAAATAAGAAAGCCAAGTTTGAATTCTTGTTGAGTTTGTTATATACAGTTAGACATAAATACCATTGGGTAAGTTATGAATACATATCATCTCTCACCCCCTGCTATGAGCTATTGGGAAAAATTATTTTTAACACCCTCAAAAATATTAATTAAAGGGTATTTGTGCATATGTGAATATAACAAACCCAAATGGAATGGGATTGGAATCTCGGCTGTTTGGTTTCAAAATTCTGAGCTGTTATCCATTACACCAGATTCATATCAAAACTTATACAACACTGAGTATTCTCAAGCAGTCATCCATCTAGGTACTGACCATGCTTGATGTTGCTTAACTTTGGTGATCATATGGTGGCAAGTCTTCAAGAAACTTAACTCCATTTTATTCTTTTGCATCTTCCAAAGGATGGACAAACTATTTTCTTTCTCACTGGCTTCTCAAAAATTCCTGCTTTGCTTCAGTGTGTCTTTTAAGAATCTCTTTAGGCATTTTAATGTTACTTAAGAATTATGATGCTGAAAAATTAATTTTATTTTTATTTTGCTCTTTTGAAACTTGATATTAACTATTACTATTTTCACTTAGGAACAATAAGACTTATTTTTCATTGAAGGAATTAACACATTTAATGACCAACATGATTTCTAATGAAGGAAAAATGCAGACTGAATATTTAAGTATATTTTATAACAATGACAAAAAATAAGATCCATATATTCACAATGTCTTTAGACATAAATCTAGTTAAAATAGAATTGTTCACTCCTATAGAAAAAAAAGGGACTGTTTTCTGGAGTTTATAGTGTAGAATTGAGCAGGAAAATATTTTGTCTATCTAAAAAGAGCTGTAGTAGGAATGGCTTACTGGTTGATGAATTTGACCTGGTTTGTTTTGCAGTTGAATCATGACTGTTATTAAGAAATATTTTTCACCTGGGTTCTGGCTATTTATAGTTTTGGGAGGTTTTGAAAGGGACTCTGGGAATTTGGGAGCATTGTATAATATTCACTGGTCAATATGCAACTATACACAAATAGTAGAATTGTATATTTTAACCAATGCTTTAATGAAAGATTTTAGACAATCTAGTGTTGAAATTCTGGTTGGTTTGGTCTAATGCTAAAATCTAAATAATTTTATATATGATTTTATTTTTGGAAATAATAATGGTTTAGTGACACAAGTATTACTAATTAACCCATAGCTAGGGGGAAGAGGTTGATTCATACCATTACCAGATGTATTTGTGTGTAAGTGACTAGAATGAACCCAACTGGAATTGGAACTCTGCTCTTCAATTAAAAATTCCAAGCCATTAGACATTACACCATCCGCACATTCAAAGTTGCAGCACCTGGTATTCCCAAGTGGTCACCCATCTAGGTACTTACAAGGTTCAACTTTGCTTAACTTCAATGATCATATCATAACTGGTGTTTCAACATGATGTGGCTGTAATCATTTGAAATTCTGGAATTAAAGCTAATGTCTATATTCAAGTGGTGGCATTGTATAAGTACAGATCTTAAGCTTAGACTCTGGAAATTCAATATTAGATTGTTGAAGACATACATAATGAATTAAAGCATTAGTTAAAACTTGTCATTTTCTCTGGCAGTTATGACTTTATTCCCTGGGTCTGGTCTTGTCAGAAACCCTTATACTCAAGTTCAATTGAAGTAATTAATGAGGGACACAAAGTTCCCTAAAACTGGTAGGTATTAACTGATATAAGTTCTCTCCCCTAAATATAGAGAGTAAAAAGAGAACAATTTACCCTTGTGGATTGAATAAAAGACATGATTCAGTCCAGCCCATACCACTAAGGGTATTTATTCACCAACTAATGGTGGAATATAGCACGTGTTTTTTTTTTTTAATGTTAGTCAGTGCTAATGCTAGTCAGAAAAATATATTTAAAATGCTGCTATTTTTGATAGACTTAGTAAAACAGATAATATTAGATTTGAAGAGCTGTATGGGTTACAAATCCATAAACGTAGGAGATGAAAGATGAAAGAAAGAATTTATATCTGCCTTGTCAAAACTCAGAAGTAAGTTAGAAATCCTAGAGTATTCATAATAAGCATTGCTGTTGTCTGACATTTCACATTACTACAAATTAGTCAAAAGAAACCAAAAAACATATAGATAAGTCAAAATCTGCTTAATTAGATTTTCTTAAAACTGTACCAAACCAAATTATTTAAACAAGTGAAAACATAGTAAATTTGCTGAATTAATTTATTATTATCGATATAAAAATTATTCAAATGCGTCTCTTATGGTCAGCTGTATGTAGCTATGTCCAGGGTAGGAAATTCAAGAGAACAACTTAGCATAATGGCAAGAAGAAATTTATAAAATAGATATCTTGATGAAAATGTTGTTTCTACAGAAATTTTAGAGAGGTCAGAGAACTTCAATGATGACCTTTCTCTGTTCACAGGATGGGTATTTAACTAGTACTTAAAAATTAAAATAAAATCGGGTCTTAATTATAGGTTTACTAAAAAAATTATTCAAATGTTTCTCTAGTGGTCAGCTCTATGTAGCTATATCCCTGTAAATATTGGCTCTCAAGGTCTCACTGTCTGTGGTCAAAGTCTCATTGTTCACGTGTCTTCCTGTGTTACTTGTGATGATGTCATCATATATCATTGAGTATACATGGAGCAGGTTGAACATTGAAAGGGTTAAACATGTGTATATAAAATCGTTTTTGGGTTCATTGAAACATTTAAAGAGTTGTACAACAGGAAAAGCAATACTTCAGAAATATGAATCATAATCATGCTACTCATTTTATGAGTAGTTATTGTACTTTTAAGTTGAAGATGGCGGGTTGAGATTTCTAAGTAAAACTGTGTCTAAAGAGCCAAGAAAAAAAAAGAAAAATGGCTGCTTCCTGTTCAGGTTCCTATTCTCTACTTGGGAATGATATTTGATACGTCTTTACTCAAGAACTGGCTTTCTTTGCCTTCAGTGTAATATCTAATTAAAATTTGGTCTATTAAGATTCCATTATAACATTGCGATTTCTCAGGGCTCCAGCTGATTTCTCCCTCATTAAATCTCGTTATTGCTAACTTTTGACGATAACAATTAAGCCAGAAGTGATGGAAGAAAACAAGTGTGTGTAGCAGGAGTTTTTGAGCGTAATGTAAAGTGCTTGACGCTTGACTTCAACATGACCGTCATACAAAACAATTGACTTTATTGGTCCAAGGTGGGTCTTGGGTTCTGCAAAAGTTCTTGGGCCCTCTTGAAAAGCTACTTGTCAAAAATGAACTAGAAAAGTGAAACTGTTAGCTAAAATAGATGATTTTGTTTGAGCTCTGCCTGTCTGACTCACTCCTTAATCAATTCATCCCAAGCAAGGTGATAATGCCACTAAGACACAAGGGGCTACTGAGAGTAAAAGAGAATGAGAAGACAGTAGAAGGAACCTCGACTCCTGTTCAAAAAACCAGAGAGGAGGGTGAATTGGGCATAGACAAACATATCTATTTTAATGGTGGTAACAGCTATTTGGTATTACTACTACCTGGGCAGTAAAATTGTTGTGGATGAGTAAGAACATTGAAAAATATATTCTTTGTCAATAGTTATGACATGCCTGTGATGAGACCCTTTGAAAATGGGGTGGGGAACAGGGAATTTCCCAAAGATATTTTCACTGCCAGGGTTTCTGCAGCAGATAATAATCAGAATTATTTTGAATGACTGACTGCTCCTTTCCGAGTAACCTTGTCTGTGGTGGCTAGTTAATCTCTGTTGTAGACAACTACTCAGGCACATTTGGCTTTCTTCAGCACCCTTAGAACAAACCTGTGGTCTACGCTGTTAGACGTTAGAAGATGTTGGAAGTATAGAGTTGGGTACTGTAAAAGTTTCTGAATCTTCTTGAAAAGCTTCTTATCAAAAATAAACTAGAAGAGTAAAATTGTTAGCTAAAATAGATTTGAGTTCTTGCCATCTGACTCAGTTCTGTCAAGGCTTCTTTTTTGTGTCTGTGTTATAGTTTCTAGAAGAGAGTACATAATCTGGTACAAGGAAAAGTGGTTTTGAACAAAGCCAGTTCACTTAACCTATTGTTCACGATGACTTGTAACTTATTGCTAGAACAATCATTAAAGGCTTCTAAACAGTTCTGTAGACCTAATTTCACTCACGAGGGTCGGTATGGATTTCAGGCATTTCCCAGTATTGCTGCTTACTCAGTTCTTCTCCCTAAGAAAATATTATCAAGAAGTTACCCCTTTGAAAAATTGACTATGGTGAGGTTCAAACCAGCTCATAAACCACTAGGCCATGTCTCGAAAATATGATAGATTATTTACCTTCTTTCATAAGTTAGTTTGTGAGGATACACACTTTAGGCGATCTTTCAATACATGACTGACAAGGCAGATTTTTTTCTGCAGTAGTTTGCCATGTGGTAGACCAGTTGCCCCAAGGCTATAAATCCTGGTCTGTCCTTATTTCAAAGTTCAGATTCATACCTTTCCCAAGGGTTAATCAACATATGTGCCTTATGTTAGGCGATCATGTATCTTTCGATACATGACCAACAAGGCAGATTTTTTACCTGCAGTAGGTTGCCATTTCTTTCTGCAGTAGACCAGTTGCTATTCAAGGCTATAGAACTCAGACTGTCCTGCTATTTACTCATAGCTGGGGGGAGAAGAAGAGGATTCATACCTTTCCCAAGGGTATTAGCATATAAGTGAATGTAATGGAACCAAGTGGAATTCAGACTTGGATCTCTGATTCCTCAATCCAAGCTGCTATCCATTACTCTACTGTTTACATTTTACTTAAAATGGTAGGGTCATGGTTGATCCCTGATAGTTGAGGGATCCCAAAGGGAAGTGCTAAAGTTTAATGTTATAGAATGTGAAGGCTAGCACCAGAATGGTCAGTGATTGGCTGAAGTGTTTGTGGGTGTGGTATTCAGACAGTGATGTATTGCTTTTGTCTGGGTTTTGGATATAAGTCCAAAAGATGCAAATTCAACAGAGAACTACCAAAATTCTGAAGTGTCCATATGCCTCTCACACCCAGGTTAGTGACTAGCTAAGACCACCCGGGAGGGACACTGAGCCAACGGGCAACATGCGTTCCTGTGATGTCATTCCTCTTACTGCCTCCGAGAATCCAAGCTGCCACCCTTCTCTCATAATAAAATGAATAACAAAAAGAAATGGTCCTTTTCATTGATATCATTTTATGTAGTAGCATGGGGCTTCAAAGACAACACAGAACACAACATTAAACGATTTTTGTATCTATTTCTGTGTGTGTGTGTGTGTGTGTGTGTGTGTGTGTGTGTGTGGTGATGGGATCTCGCAAAAAATTGAACCTGCTCTTGTGGGGAGGCAAAAAATCCCTTAGTGCCAGGTAAGAGCTGTAATATATTAAGCTTTAAATAAGTGTTACGTGTTGATAATTGTAACAAAGGAAAAAAAAAAAATGATTTACCACAACACAGAGCTAAATCACAAACAAATATTTAATTTACTAAAACAGAACGTAAAATATATATACAGGATAAACAATTGTGGCCTACAAAACAGAAAACAGTTACTGGTGAAGTGTTACGAGGGAGAAGGAAAGGGAGTCAAATATCTTTATCACTTTAGGGCTAGCAAAGTAATCTAAGTGCTATATTTGGAAATCCACAAAGGTGTGTAAATAAATATTAATTTTTAGTTTGGTCAATGAAAATTAGTCAAAATTCTATTTACCAAATTTGTTCAATGAAATTCTCTTTTGGGTTTTTGTTGGTCGGCAACTTTTTATAGAGATTCTTTCGGCTGGATATAATAGTCCTCAAATCAAAAGCTGGAGTTGATAAAAGCAGAATCTTTCAAACATTCTATTTCTAATTTCTCTATTTTACAACTACTTCATGAATGAAAACTTTTTTGTAATAACAAGTAGAACTCAGTGGAATCCCTTATTATAGAAATGCATCCTTGTAACATAACACTGATGTAAGCATCTTAGGCAAACATGGACTTTCATGCCCCCAAAAATACGAAGTGTCAAAAGAACAGTTTTTCCCATGACACTGCTTCTTTTAATTACCTTCACTTCTCAACAATATTCATTGTTTTAAAAAGTCATAATTAGAATTTTAATAAAAACTAAACATATGATGAAAGTGAATTTATATATTTTTTGTTCTTGAGAATTTACAACAACAATATTGAACACTATTTATTAGATTGTTTATTTATATGAATAAATTTATATTTGCAACACTCTAAAAACTAATATAATTGTATTAAGACAAATGCAGTGTAATATTTATTATTTACCAATTTATAAGGAAATAAATATGAAAACAATACTTAAAAGTTAATAAATAAAAAAAGATGTTACTTTTGCTGCATCCTCTGTGTGTGTGTATATATATATATATATATATAAAATGATTTGTACCCACA